ATAAATGACTGGGTCCTGGAGAGACTTCCTGTTAGCCTGACAACTCCCATATACCCTTACAAACCAGGAGCTGTTGTTTGGGTGAAGGAATGGACTGTTCATCTGTTAAAGCCTCACTGGAGAGGCTCCTTTGTTGTTTTTTTGTCTATCCCCGCAGTTAAAGTAGCAAAAATTGCTCCCTGGATCCATCACAGCCAAGTAAAGCCAGCCTCTCCTGAGCAGGAGTGTGTTCCTGACCCAGCTTCACCATGCAAGATCACTCTCTGGAACACCTGCACCCTGCCTTGGCAGGACCCTGCTTCCTGGGAAGCAGCAGGGGACCACAAAAAACAGGATGACAGCCCTGCTTAGTCACTCTGGAAGCTGACTAGTCTATGCACGGCAGAAGCTCGAACATGGGACGCACCCCTGCTCTCCTCTACACGCATGGGTTGGCCCTTGCAAGGTTTCCCCATGCACTGAATGTTATAAGAGAGCCTTTGGTGGGATTTCCGCACAGCCATACTTTGTATCATACACCCCCACCAACAGGTCAGATGTTACATCAGCTCGTATACTCCTCAGGTGTGCAAGGTAAGTGATACTGGAAGGTAAGTGATGCTGGAAGTCCCAAAGTAAGGGGAACAATGCAGGCTACATTCGTAATGGAAAGTGGGGAGAATGGGTCTGCTGGACTTATTTAGGGCATTGAGGAATTTCCCATGGTGGGGGGAGTCCAGGACCTAGCTCGGGAACAACTTGTTAGAGAGACAGCACATTGAGGGTCAGAGGTACTCTACTCAGACCAGGTGGCTGCCAATCAAGGCACTGGGTCACGGTATAATAAAATCAAAGCAAATTAGGCAGAGGGTCAGACTTCCCGACAATAGGAAAAAAATCACTTTGTAGACCTGGTGGAAAGGATTGCCAAAGAACCAAATGTCTCAAACTGCTGGGTGTGAGGAGGCACCCTCATGAGTGAGGAATGCCTTGGAAAGGGACTGATTTAAATGCTTACCAACTTTTATTGTGGAATCAATCTATAACAGGACAAGAGAGTAACCAACCTCAGACCTGGATTCTCACACCAGAGGTAATTGGGGAAGAATGTGTCAAAAGAATTGAGTCAGAATATGAAAAGTGGGTGGGGCAGACCCCTTGTAAGAGGGTGCTCTCTTGGAATGGGACTAATCTAACCTGGTGGCCTGATGAGCCTAAATGGTATTGGACATTGCCCCCATCAGAAAACAGTTCCCACTGTAATGATTCTCCAACCAATGACAGCCTCTTAAATTGTGCTACTACCAGATAGGTGTACCCATTCTGAGGCATCCCTGAGATTGGCAAATATTGGAATAACCTCACAAATACTGGCCTGGGGTGGTGGAGGGGACCAGATGGGTTATTTTTGATATGTGGGAAGTGAGCTTATACCAAACTCCCTACGGACCCCCATCTATATGCTCAACAGAATCATTAGGTTACAGGTAGCTGTAGAAATTATTACCAACCAGACTGCCTCTGCCCTAGAGCTACTGGCCAAGCAACAGACCCAAATGCAAGCCACTATATATCAAAACCGCCTGGTTTTGGATTATCTTTTAGCTGAGGAGGGGGGAGTATGTGGCAAGTTCAACTGATCAGTCTGCTGCCTCCACACTGACTGTTGCCTCCAGCAGTGATGGAAATTGTCACTAATATTAGAAAGATGGCACATGTACCCATACAAGTGTGGAAAGGATGGGACACAAAGAGTCTGTTCAGTGGGTGGTCCTCTGCCTTGGGCGGATTCAAAACCCTGATAGGGGTAATGGATCGTGGGAGCATTTTTGGTGTTACCTTGCCTGGTTCCCTTTGTATTGTGGTCTAGCAGGACCATTATGGAGGCCACTATAGAAAGAAAAACAGCTGCCCATATAATGATGCTGTAGAAATATAAACCCCCAAATCAGGATGATGCTCTCTGACCCTAGGTGGGTCCAAGCATCAAAGGGGGAATAATGTAGTAGGGAGGAGGGGGGCAGCATGGCAGGAAACTTAAAGAAGCTGAACATGAAAGGGGTCACATAGCACTGAGGGTGAAGTAGCAACAGAATTGTGTATGACCATATATGGATTAAACTTTGCTTCTTGCTTCTGTAACCTGCCTAGAATGATATATAAGGCAAGGCCCCTTTGTTCTCGGGGCTCAGCCTTTGGATGTGACTCCACTGAGCCACTGCTGGCACGCTAAATAAAGTTGCTTCCTGAAAAGTCTGGGTGTCCTGTCTCCCTGTTTGAGCAGTCTGCAACAGGGTCACACACTCTGTAAATTATTTCTTAATATGAAAGATGAATAATCTCTTGGCTGGAAATAGGAATTCTGGATTTTGGGTCTTTTATCTTAATAAGTTGTAAATGGTGATATCACAGTCTTCAAGTTTCAACTCTTGCACAAGGGGAATCTAATACCAGTGGGCTAAGTTTTGCTTTTGCTCTTTCTGTTTGGAAAGAGACAGAAACATATGAGACAGGGTTCCCCAGAGGCACAGAACTGACAGAATCTATATACAATTAGAAAAGGGGATTTATAAGGTCTGCTCACACCACCAGAGACTGAATGGTCCCATAATGGCTGCCTGAAGTCTGCAGAGCTGGGGAAACTAAGAGCTGCTCAGTCCAAGAACTGGAAGCCTCTGAGCAAGAAGGCCAGAGGTGCAGGCCTAGCCCTAGGCTGAAAGCCTGGATGCCCCTGGAGAGTCACTGGTCCAAGTCTCCATACAAAGACTGGAGAATCTGCAGTCTAATGTCAATAGACAATGGCAACAATAAAAACGCACCCACTCAAGAAGAGCTCCATTGGGTGTGTGCAAACTTCCCTCTTCCATGTTTCTGTTTCACCTGGGTCCCCAACCCACTAGCTGGTGACATTCACCTTCGGAGCAGGTTTTCCCCACTCAGTTCACTGACCTACACACCAAGTGTCCCTGGAAACACCCTCGCAGGCAACCTCAGAAGTGTGCACTAGCACTTTTCTAGGCAGCTTTCAATCCAGTCACATTGACAACCAAGATAACCATCATAAGAAACTTGTTTCTTTTGATTTCTCCCTAATCCTCAAATTCAGGAATCTTTCTAGGACATGCCTATAGATGCATTGCTTTTCAATCTCACAGGAATTTAGTGGGTCTTCTCAACATATAGCTTCAATTATTCTTACTCTCAGAGTAATTTTCTTCTATTTTATTTTATTGATTCCTCTCTTCCAGCTGTTCTTTTTATTCTACTGAAAATTCTGTTGCTCACCTTGTAAGCCTTCTGAACCTCTTTTCAAAGTCTAATTATTGCCCTTGTGCTTTCTATTTTTCCTAAATGTTTTGAGAAGTTTATTTCTTCCTTTTTTTGGGCAGTACTTGGGTTTGAACTCAGGGCCTCATGCTTGCAAGGCAGGCACTCTACCACTTGAGCCATGCCCCATGCCCTGAGAAATTTCTTCACCGTGATCTTTCATGGCAGCAATCTGCATCTAAACAGTGACTATGCTGTCTCTCAATTTGTTTCATTTTTAATTGTGCTTTCTGAATTTAGTTCTAGAAAGTATTTTTATGCTGCGCTTGAGACTACTTATGGATGGTGACTGTTTCTTTTTCTTGTTAATGTCCCAGTGCCAATGACTAACCTCAGTAGGTGCTTGCTGCAGGTCCAGCAGACAATTTTGCTAACTCATTTTCTTGCTCACTCAGTTGCTGTCTCTCCATCGACAAGGTCGTGTGTGTCCTGACTCTAGGGAGCTCATTCTCTAAGGATGCCAGGTGACCTTAGACATGCTTTGAAGGGAAGGCTCAGGCATGATTTTTAGAGTAGCTTAAACTGCAGCAATGCTGGAATGGAGAAGACAAAGTGCTCTCTGCTCCTCGGGGCTTGTCATTCCATCTCCTCAGGACCAGAAGAGGCTGCCTGGCTTCCAGGTGTCCCTCAACCTGCCTTCTCGTCCTCCTGGTAGGCTTCTCTTCAGCCTCCCTCTGAGTCCCACTCCCAAGGCTGGGAAGAACCTCTGGTAGCTCCTATTCTCTGCTGCCCTGGCTGCCAAGGCCTGTACTAACTGTCTCTGTCCCTTTTCTGTTGCTACAACAGAATGCTTGAGGCAGGATAAATAGTTGCTACACTGTATGGTTTGGGAAACAATGGCAAGAAAAACACCTACAGATGTTCAGTTCAGATGCAATTATCCCCCTAATATTTTTGATTCACGGTTGAGTACATGGATGTGAATCTACCAATTGGAGGCTCAACTGTATTTCTTTCTGTTCTTTCGAATGTCAGTCAGTTTTGCCTGTCTGGCTTTCTCAGTTCTCCGTTTTACTTTTCCTTCCAGTTCTGTTTGTTTCCTGGGAAATAAGTGCTCCTTTGCAGCCAAAGTGAGTAGAGGTGTAAATGCACACACATGTGTACACATGGGACAGAATGGAAAGGGGATGTGTCAAAGGCTAGGAATTTCATGATTTTGTTTATACTTTCCAAATCAACGCATGCTTATGTATTGATGGGAATGGCTTAGTTGGACCACCATGCTTGATTTTGTAACAGAGAAAGGAGATAACTGATAGAAAAAAAAAATCTCCCAAAAGGCCAGAAGCAGAGCTATGGCTAGAGTGTGTAGCATTTTTGTGCAAAGCAGAAAAAGTGTCCCTTTCTCTGGGTGGGCACAGACTGACTCAGGATTGGGGGCTGGGAGGTAGAATGGTGGGCACATTCCAGCCCCACTGTCTTCATTCAGGTGCCCTTGTGCAGAAGGAAACCTGAGCAGAGCTCACAGGAAGGGACCAGAGTGGCCTCTGAAAGAGGAGAGGTATTTCTTCCTTGAAACAGAATTGCCTGGTGGCTGCTGGAAATGATATTTTTTTTAAGTTCAAACTGTAAGGAAAATTACAGTAACAGGAATAAACTATATTGGGAATTATTGCATTGCAGCTCATCAATCTACCAGCTACCAAGTGAACAGATACCTTCTAACCAACCCTCCCAAAAGAAAAGTTTCTTACCCTTTCAAAACCACAAAAGTCTGCCCTTGAAAGCTAGAAGAAAAAAAAAGAAACTTTTAATTTTTTTCTTGCATATCAGAAGGTATAACAAAGCACGGCAATTTAAATTATACCAATGGAAACTTAAGGTTTCCGTTGGTGTAATTATCCCAGAAGTTAGGATGCTCAAACACTAGTATGTAATTTACACACTATCCTTTAGTGTTTGTTTCACTATTTTACTAATTTATTTATACCTTAATGAAATTCCAGAAAGGATTTGAGATGAAAACCATTTTACATTTTATTTTATTTCCTTTTGGAGCTGGGCCTTTGCATATGCTAAGCATATATCCTACCACTGAGCCACACTCTCTTCCCCCCCAGTAGCAAACTGTATCTTTTAATGATTTATTTGATTTTTTAGTACTGGAAATTGAACCCATGGCCTTGTTCTTGCTAGGCAAGTGCTCTACCACTTGAGCTACACTGCAGCCTTCTTTGAATGATTTAAAAGGAAGGGCAAAGAAGAATGCAGGAAGACATGTGTCTGCCACCACCTTGGGTCCATGGAGGAACAGCCTTAACCTATTATTTTTCTCCTTTTCCACTGTGTCTTTTCTGCCCAGCCCAGTATGGTCAGAGATTAGGACTGAGGACTTAGCCCTTGTCTACTGCATGCTTTGAATTTGAGCCATCATAGCCATCCTGCCTTCTTCAGCTCTCTGAATTAGCAGTTACCAAGATAAGTGCAGGAAAGACCAGATCTATTGGTTGTCTAAGCAGCTAATGGTACTTCCACAGAGATGGCGAGGAAGGAGAGAAGGCTAGGAATACCCATATACCCAAATAAAGGTAATAACTACCACCCATCAGAACTATCAATATAATTGTCTCTATTTTACTTCTCCTTAGCTTTCTTCCCACTGCTCCTAAGTCTTTATTACTGGTCTTACATCTGTTGTGGTAATTTCTGGGAGGTATTTATGAACATGTTTAAGAATTTCATAGCTTCATCTAAACATATGCTCTGCTTCCCTCAATTGCAACTTACATTTTTCTTTTATTTTCTTCCTGCCTGAGGAATCTCTGTAGTTTCTGCTATAACTAGGTCTGTCTAAACACTCTCAATTCCACTTTTCCTTGCTTCTTGATGAAACGATTTTGAGTTGTTCTACAGAGTTTCCCAGCAGAATGGAGCCTCAGTTCATGGGTTTTTTTGTTGTTGCCATTCTGTTTTTATTTTCACTTGACATACAGTAATTATACATATATATGGGAAACAATATGACATTTTAATAGAGTATACAGTATGTAATGATCATATCAGGGTAATTGGCATATCTATCACTCCAGAGAACTCTTACTTTCAGTTTATGTTACTTTTTTTCCTGGTGGTACTGGGGTTTGAACTCAGGGCTGCTTGCAAGGCAGACGCTCTACCACTTAAGCCATACCTCTGGTCCAATGTTATTTTTAATACTATATTTAGCTTTATAAATTACCTTATAGCATTTTAGGAACATATATACTTATAAGTAATTAGATAAACAAGTAGTAGATAATGTCTTTTCTACTGTATAGACTTAAAACTTACTATAATTGTATAAGAAATAAAACTAGCACCATGTCCAAATTATACATTCAATTCTACAATGAAAAGGAAAAAGTTGCATTATGTGTAAAAGCATTTTTTTTAAAAGGAAGAAGTATTTAAACTTTAAGATATACTACACATAACTCAAATTCCAAATATTTGTTTGTTTGTCACAGAAGACATTTAAGGTTAGTTACTAATCACATAGAGATTTACATACATTTATGAGCTGGGTTGATGGATAGCGAAGATCTCCACTAACATAAAGACCCAAAGAGGTGAGGATAACTAAAAAATGATTTGTTAAAACCATGTCTATCAGTGTCAGCTTTGGGTGTTCTAAAGGAAAAAATCAAATGAAACCATGGATTAAAAAAACAAAGTAAGTGCTTTAACATTTTATCAATACAGAAATAAAGTGCTAGAAAAGAAGGCAATTAGAGAAGTTACCTTCTTGAAGTTGGGAATAGATGATATCTGTCATGTCATACCATGTGGTTTCATTGTAATTCCAAAATCCAGAATATGTTAAGCCTACAAAAACACCTATGGTGACAGAAAAGGCAAATTAAAGCTAGGAATCATTACAGAGCTAGTCACTAAATTCTATGGTGTGAGGCCTTCAGAGGCAAGAATATGAGCCATCTCCATCTTCCAGTTCACTCTCCTCTCCACCTCAACTCTTCTCTCCTTAGTTTGAATCTCACTTTCCCAGTCACTGGAAGGATGAGGTTAAACCAGGTTGTACATAGATTATACCACAGGATTGCATCTAACCATCTCATTGACTCCTAGAATTGACCTCTGGCAATAGTATGTCCTGAAAATAAATCCTCTTAATGAATTTGTTTATCCTAAAAATATCTTCTAAGCTGTACTTAATGAGTAAGTATTTTACTTACATTGAAGGGCACCAGAATATGTCACTCCAAAATAGGCCATTTTGGTTTAACGATTATATTGAGCTGAGGGCAATTGAGAATCAGCAGATATAGGTTCTGCTCTCATTCATCTGCCTAAAAGTAGGGTGTAAGTTTCCCTTTGTACCAGGAACTGAAGAGCACTTTCATCACTTGGGATGTCTTCTATTTACATCCTCATTCATTTCCTAGTTCCTGCCTCACAACATACTGTCCTTTGAGGCCCAAAGTCCTTTCCATGTTAGAAATTCAAGTTTAGTTACTGGAATTTCACTCACTTCTTTTCTGTGAGTTCTGTTCACATAAATATTAACTAAAATTGTGTGCCTTTTCTCTTATCAATCTGTCTTTTGTTAGTTTAGCTTATAGCATCAAATATTGAACCTAAGAGTTCAGAGGAATTTTTTTTCTCCCGACAATATACCTGTAAGCATGAAAATGTTCTTAGTTCGAGAATACTATTTGATCAACAATTAAAAAAAACTCTAAAGAAGAAAATTAAAATTCAAACTCTAAGAGAGGAGAAACTATGGTTTACTTTAATAGCTGTGGTTAAAAAAACAAAAAAAATTTGCTAAAGTCTTATGAGAATCTATTAAAATAAGATGAAACATTGTTGTAAATACTGAAAGCACTTATTCCATTACCCCACCTTTCCTTGGCCATGGCTGGGAATGTTGAGAGACTTTTGTGTTTTATATAAGGAGTGTTAACCTGAAGTTTTGTCATCAAAACGGGGGGAGGAATGGGGTGCTACAAACAGTTGAATGCGTAAGTGTTGTTTCCATAAGATGTATGTAAGATTTGTCATATTTTGAAGTGTGTATTTTAACTCTCAGTTCTTTTCTGTGTAGGGAAAGATATGGAAGAAGTATTATTATTATTACGATTATTTTGGCAGTACTGGGATTTGAACTCAGGGCTTAATACTTGCTAGGCAGGTGCTCTACCACTTGAACCATTCTACCAGCCCTTTCTGAGATAGGGTCTCACTTTTTGCCCAGGCTGGCCTGGATCATGATCCTTCTATTTATGCTTTCTGCTGTAGCTGGGATGATAGGTATGTACCACCATGCCCAGCTTTTTTTCTGCAAGATGGGGGTTTTGCAAACTTTTTGCCCAGTATGGCCTGGAACCAGCAGTCCTCCTTATCTCACTCTCCCAAGTACCTAGGATTATATGTGTGAAACACTAGCATTCAGCTTAGAAAGATTATTGTCTACTCTTTCCAGGATGAGGAAAGCTAAAGATAAGTTTTGTCTTTCTAAGAATTGAGTCTTGTTTTACAGGTAACTGTGGGATATTCTAAATGGGAATGAACAGGTGTCCAGCATATCACATGACCAGACACCTGCAAAGTTTAGAAGTATTTAATGATGAAATAAGCAATAAAACAAACACTTTATATTGGCTAATATTTTTAGACCAAATTTAAGTTACAGGCCACTCTCTATGACATGCTGTCTCAAATCGTATCTTCAGGTGGAAAGGTTATGTAGACTATTATGAGTTTGACTTTTATTCCAATGGCAAAGTTACTGGCATGTGTAAGTAAGGAAAGTGATGTGAAGGAATTTATATTTGAGAGAATCTTCTGTGGTTGTAGGAAGGGCAGGCTGTGCTGAGTCAACAGTAGAAACAGGGAGCCCACTTAAGAGGCTGTGGATTAGTCTTGCAGACAAAGTGCTGAGTTGACATAGGTTTTAGCAGAGGAGAGAGGTGGTCATATTGAAACTGACCCTGGAGAAAGTGTCATTATGGAAAGTTATTTGAGCAGAGCAATCAAGAAAGTGTCCTGAACTTTTTGAAATTGTTTTATGTAGTGGGTGGGGAACAGGATGAGGGAAAGAGATGGTAGGTGTGAACCTAACCAGTGTACAATGTAAACCTTTTCAGAAATGTCACAATGTATCCCTTCTGGACAACTAATGTATGCAAATGAAAATGCTTTGAGAAAGAAAGAGAATAGAATGCTACCACGAGATTGTGTTAAGGGTCCTGGAGTGATTGTGGCTACTGACATAAAGAAGGAAAGACAGGAACTAAGTCTAGATTCATCAATGGTGAGAGGTCACACTGCAGAGAAGCCAGCTTAGAAAATGCACAAGTGACTGATGGAGGTAGTATAAAAGCAACTAAGGTGGTGTCAAGAAAGTTCTGGAAAAAAAAAGTTCTGGAAGAGTAGAAAGTGTTTTGAAGACAGAGTGGCCAACTGTGTTAATGCTGCTGGAAGTTGAAGCCCAGTGAGGATGAAGAGTGGGCTGTTCTAATTGGCAACATGGTGACCTTGAGAAGAGCCCTTCTGAGAGACTGTGGAAACAAGTCTCATCTGCCTTGCATGAAGATAAAAGGGGAAGTGAAAAAGGAGCACCATCTACAATAAATTCTTCCCATAAATTTTGCTGTAAAGGAGAACAGAGAACTGTGGACAAATGAAGATTTTGTTTAAGATGGGGGATGTGGAGCTTATTGGTATGTGGGTGGATGAGACCCAGTAAAGAGGGAGAGCATGACAGTGCAGGAAAGAAGGGAGAAAAGCAGGTGGAATAGAACCTAGACTCAAGGGCTGAGGGTGACCTTTGATAGTAGTGGAGACACTTCTCACAATGAGTGTCAACAGGGACAAAGGCAAAGAGTGCCAGTGCAGATGCAGGTAGGATGGCAGAGCTGCAGGTGCGACAGTGGGAGGGTTCCTATGGTAAATGTTTATTTTCTCTGTGAACATTAGATAAAGGTGCTGAGAATGAGAGGGGAAGAAGGGATTGCCAAGTGTTTTAGAAGTGGGAAGAGGTGTGATAAGGTCACCTTGCAGAGTGGGAAAGTAAACATATCAGGGAAGAGTGATAGGATGTCAAGGCAGGGCTGACTGGCCTCTTGAGATTGCAATCTTGAATTTACTTTTTTTGTATGTGCGATACTGGGGTTTGAACTCAAGGCTTCTTGCTTGTTAGGCAGGTGCTCTACCACTTGAACCACACCTCCTTCTGCTCTGTAATCATGAATTTAATGTAAGACTAGTTGGTTTCACTTTGAAAGTCAGACTAGTGAGCAAATATTTTCTTGCAACCTTGTCATGAGCACAGACAGACTTTAATTAAGAGTTGGGGTTTACAAGAAAGGAAAAAAAGGAGGAAGTCACAGAGCATTTATAAGGATGGAGTGTGAAACTCATGGCAAGAGGATAGGAAAGTAAGAATGTTGAGTAGTAAAAATGTGATGGGGGAATGGCTCAAAGTCTCAATGAGACTAAAGAAAAGCTGGAGTGTGAGTCCTGGAATAAGGGAGAACTGGAGAGAGTGCACAGCACAAGATGCCTGCAGTGGACATGGTGACATTATTGGAGATGATGGGATCAAGAGGAGTCCTGAAACTGGGTATTGCAAAAGTCATCCATATGAGTATCAAAAATAGTGACAGAAGTCAAGATGGAGAGGAAGATTAGAGATTCAGCCTTAGAGATTAGAGGCTGAACTTGTTAACAAATGAGTGTGAGTGACAGGAAGGTCACCACCAGCCATATTTTTCTGAAGGGTTTCTTGAGATAGGATCTCTTGTACTATTTGCCTGGGCTGGCTTCAAACTGTGATCCTCCTGATCTCTGCCTCCTGAGTAGCTAAGATTATAAGTGTTAGCCACTGGCGCCTGGCAAGGGTCTTGGGTTTTGAAGGAGAGGATAGGAGTGGCCCTAAAGAACAAGAACAGCAGTCCAGCCCTTAGGCTTTGAGAGATGTGACATTGGAGAGGGCTTCAAGGAAAGACTGTTATCTGGAGATGACCAAGCTACTCTTTATGGCAAGAAAGTTAAGGGACCATTTGGGGAAAAGTAAGTGGCATGGGAGATTTTACTGATGAAAGAATACAAATTCTAACGAAAGGATCTTGGGTGGATAAAGAAAGGAAGCGGTTGGACCAAATTAAAGAATGCTGAGAACGGTATGTGGGATGGAGTCATTTGGGAGGTTTAGGTTTCTGGTGGTGACTGATGGGGACCTGATGGAATGTCTTAAGAGTGTCCTAGAGGACGGAGGTGGACCACATGGGGCTGCTGATTATTGTTTGCACCATGAACCACACATGACATGAAGACCAGGAGGATGAACAAGGATCTCACAGAGGAACTGTTAGTTTAGGCAATGCAATTTGATAATGTGGGTATTTTTGACAAAGAAGTGACTTCTGTTTCATCTGACAAATAGGTTGCTGGAGCTGACTTGTTTCTTGAAAGGTTGAGGTGATCTGGTAAGTGTGGTCCCAGGAAGACTGCCCACTCTTCCTATGACTTCCATATGGTAGGATGGAGCATGAGAAGTTGAGAATGTTTGCTGTACTGTGTGTGACTCATGGAAGGACAACAGGTATTGGTATCTGGAAAAAGAGAAGGAGGAGGAGGTCCTAGCCTGGATACCAGGCTGAGTTTCCATCTGCATTGGCATAGTGTATGGTACAGGGACAGCACAGAGGGGGAAGAGATACAATTTATAACTGAACTAATTCAGCAGAAGTAGGCACTGAAAGCTGGAGATAGATGATAGACTGCAACCCACCAGGAAGTCATAAATATCTGGGACAAGGCCATTTGTCTATTCCCACACATGGTTTTAATCTATAGATCTATTATTATAAGTCATAGGGCAGGGTTATGGTCTTTTTGTTCTTCTGTTCATAGTGTGCCACTCTTTCATATGGATTTTGGGATTACCTCATCAATTTTCTTGCCAAAAAGAAAAAGAAAATCTACAAAAACAGTGCTGTGAATTTTCAAAAACTGTAGAGCCGATTGATAAATGTAGAGATAATTAATTAATATCTTTACAATACTAGAAGTTTCTGTTCATGAAGTCTGTTATTTCAGTCTTTTTATTTGATGGTGAGGTGAAGGGTGTGAGATAGGTTTTTACTGTTATTCTGGCTGGCCTTGAACTCCCAATCCTGTTGTCTCTGCCTCCTGAGTGCTGGGATTACAGGTGTATACTTGCCAGGCCTAGCTTGTTTTAGTCTTTTAAAATGGCCTTCATTAAGTTTTATAATTTCTACACAACAGGGCTGTAACTCATTTATTTATTTATTTATATTTCTAGGTACCTTTGGGGGCTTGTTACCTCATGAGTTGGATTTGTTTTTTTTTTCAGGCACTGGGGTTCAAACTAGGGTTTTGTGTGCCCTAAGCAAACATTCTGTCACTCAGTTACATCACCAGTTCCATGAATAAGATTTAAAAATTATAATTTTGGGATTGGGAATGTTACGTGGTGGAGCACGTGCCTGGCATGCATAGGCCCTGGGTTTGAATCCCAGAACCTTGAAAAGAAAAAAAAGATAGAATTAGAATCTTGAATTAGTAGGTGTTTTTTAAAATATATTTTTATTATATTCCACATCCTGTAGCACTCTCATAGTTGTTCTGATTGTTTATAGATCTTTTGAGATTTTTTACATACATATACATATTATCTATGAATATAAAATTTTTGTTTCTTAGTTTTTAATCTTTTTTGTTTTTATTTTGACCTGCATATCAGTTGGAACTGATGACTGGGTCATAAATGACGTAGGAAAAACAATCAGACAAATCTTATTAGCAGTTAAACTGCATTATGGTAGTGTGATATGATACATAATAAGAAACATATATTTTGTCTTTATCTCTGGTTCCTGATACAAAGCTTTTAAATCCCTTAGAAGTTCCTGGGTGACAAGACCATCTTGTTCTTCTGATGGGCTCACAATAAATTTAGTATTATGGCTGGTCATCAGAAAAACCAAACCATAATTTGAAGCTTGAAACTTTCAGTCCCACATGCCATCCTTCAGGAAGGGGAGAGAGGCTAGAGACTGAATTAATGATCCATCACACCAGTGTGATGGGAGCCTCCATAAAAATCTCTAAAGTACAGGCTTTGGTGAGCTTCCAGGTTGATGACCCTTTTGAAGGGTCCTGTGTTTGGGGCCCTTCTGGATCCTGCCTATATACCTCTTTGGATGTTCATCTGCATCCTTTGTAATGTCCTTTATAATAAATTGTTGAATGTAAGTGTATGCTTCCTTGAGTTCTGTAGGCTGTTGTAGTAAGTTATTGAACCCAAGAAGTAGGTCATGGGAGCTCTCTGATTTATAGCAGGTTAGTTAGAAGTATAGGCCATAATCTGGAACCTGCAACTGGCATCTGAAGTGAGGTGCAGTCTTGTGGGACTGAGCCTTTAACCTGTTGGGGGGCAGTGCTAACCAAATCACAGGACAGCCACATGATGTCTGCAGAGAGCTGGAGAATTGCTCGGTGTGGAAAATCCACACGTCTGATGTCAGAAGTGTTGTAAATCAGAATACAGAGAAAAGCAGTCGATTTTTCCTCCATATGCTGTTAGATTTTATAACAGTCATGGGAAAATACATACATAATATATAAAATAATGTGGTACCTTGGGAAAACAATACCTATTTATATATGGCAGAAATATCAGATGGATTAGAAACAACGAATAATTTCTGGGAAGAAGTAACATGCTAATAGAGGGCAGAAGATAAACAAAGTTAAGAGAGATATATAAGTCACTATTAATGTGGTAAAAAGCCATGGAACTCACTGGAAAAAATATTCTTAGCATTACATACTTGCAAGTAGAGAAGGTGGAGTGACAAAGAGTAAATTCACAGGTATTTTAAGGAAACATTTTTAGTCCACTCTGTTTATACACTTAGTTTGTACCAACAGTTAAAACAGCACCATTAACATTCAGCAACCCTGGGAACTTACCATTATATGTTGAATTCAAAACGAAGCCCAGTAATGCTACATCATTGGCACAGGGGCACTTTGCCACTTTGAGATCTACCACGTGTGGATACAATTCACTGATCTGTGTTAGGGACAGTTTTGTCCCAAGGGTCCACTGAAGAATAGGTTCTGTGGAAGTCAAAGTTTGGTGTTTAAATTGAAGCCACATTCTTGAAAGTGGAGCAGCACTACTTTCCTTTAAATAATTTAGGAACTATGAAATGCAACTGTTCTTTAGCTCAAAAATGGGTGTGGTATGTCCTCACTTATCAGTTAAGAATAGGTCAGTTCTTATTTTCCAGAGAAGGAGCGAAAGTCTAACTTCCTCTGTGTTAACTGGCCAGGTCACACTGCAGAAGAGCAGGTGGCCATGTTTGAAAAACGTCAATTGTCACAGGCTCTATCCCTAGAAATGGAACTGCTGGATCCCAAGATACACACATTCACAATTTAGAGAACAGTTTCTGTTTCAACAAACCCACATTTACTTTTTGCTCTCTCCCCCAATCTCATCAAAGCAGGAGTAGATAAATAAGAATGAGAATAAATCCACAATAGCAGTGGGGAACAGTGGCTAAGAGACACAGAAGGGTTTCTGGAATAGAGAAAGAATTTGGGAGTGGACCAAGCAGGAAAAGACAGTCAGATGGGAGACATCCTCAACCCTGCACAAGCTGAATTAGCAGCACAAGCTGTGAAGTCTTTCACACGGGGTCTGGTACCTTTCAGTTCTTTTGCTTTAATTTTTTTCTAGCCTGTAGCTTAAGAATCTTTACAATATCTGTTTTTCTCTCAACCTTTTCTTTCTGGTCTCCATTTGGACATTATCCTCTCTGGAAGCCTTTCATAAATCCCTAGATGTGTGAGGCTCCCCTTGGGTGCTCCAGCAGAGTTCTGGTTTCACTAGAACTAGATGAAACCACACTCTCAGCTGACTAAGGTGGACAACAATCCTTGTTAGAATTCAACTCATGGATATGCAATGGGTTGGAGCTAACATCAAATTTTTATGCATAGAAAAAGGAGGATTTTTCAGGAAGAAAAAGATTGAGGACAAAAATTCTTGTTCAGAAATTTCAGAAGAAACTTTTTTCTTCTGAAAAAGTAATGAGAATAAAGAGTATAAAAAATGGGCTGGTGGAGTGGCTCAAGGGTAGAGCACCTGGCTAGCAAGTGTGAATCCCTGAATTCAAACCCTAGTATTGCCAAAAAAAAAAAAAGAGGTACAAAAAGCCAGGGCAGCTTGAAAGAATTTGAAAAATAATCAAAGGACTTTTTATTTTTTTGGTGGTGGGACTGGGGTTTGAACCCATGCTTGCAAAGCAGGTACTCACAAAGCAGGCATTCCATCACTTGAGCCACATCTTCAGCCTTTAAAGGACTTTAAGAACTGAGATATCTAATGCTCAATTCTTTTTTTTTTAAATTCTATTAGCAAATAATAGTTGTAGAGGGGAATACATTGTGATATTTACATAAGTGCTTACAATTCTTTACTATTTAAAACTCAATTCTTTAGCTGTTTATATTCCGCAGTGTAATTGTGTTTCCCCCAGCTTTCAGTAAGATCTACCACCCCAAAGAGTTTATGTGATTTCTCTCACTTTGTGCAAAGCAAGAAAGGGAGTAAAGTTCCCATCTGCACTGACAGTGAAGCCAGCTACGGCCCAGAAGGGAGAGAAGCATGATGCAAAACCAAACGGTAGAACGGAAACTAACTCGCCAGCCAGGCACTGAGGAACTCAGAGACACCTGGGACAAAGTGGTTGACTTTTCCCTGGGTAGCATATGTTTGCGGGCTGCTCACATCCAGATCTTAGAGGTCAGGGGATTGGAGCTTAAAGCTGGAATATGATTGCACTGACTTGACAAACAAGCTCTCAGAGTCAGATTGCATTTTAAGCCTTATAAGATCCAGGGGATGATTAAACGTGTTGACTGTTGTTGAGAAGCTCAAAAGGAGACCAAATGGTGTCCAATGTGAAAGTCTTAACATTGGTGACCACATTTAAGAGCAGTGAGATCAGGAGATGGAAAACAGATGAGTGGCTTGGGATTTGTATTGGATCTAGAGCATTGGGGACAAGAGTTTTAAACATTTCCTTTGAGTTTAGCAGTGAGTAAAGATTTGTAAGCACACCCTCATTTTTCCCCTTGACTTCCACACTCCCTCATGTTCTACTATTCCCCCATGTCTTCAACATTGCAGTAAGTAATAACCATCCCAGCTTGATTGCCTGAGGGAGATCAGGCATTGATTGATTTTTCACTCAATGTCTTTGAGCTTGGTTCTTGCTGCTATATCTGGGTCTGTTTCCTTCATTTTAAGGATTACACTAACATGTTTTTGTTTTTTCCTTATTTACTTACATGGTTTCAAGTTCTGTCTTATTACAAAGAGTAGTGCATTAAATAGGCTTGTACATATCTCTTAAGCACACATGCAACCCATATTCCACAAAGGCACTTCTCAGTCCTTATTGTACATCAGTCATGTTGGAAGAGTTCCAAAACTACAAATGTGGAGATCAGATTTTAATTGGTATAAGGTGGAGTTGAGACATCCTTAATTTTTACAAGGCTCCCCAGGTGACCCTTTTCATAAAATGTACTGTTTTTATTCTGCATTCTACATAGCATAAGAGCAAATAAAAAAAAGAAGGTAAAGATGTACAAGATCCAGGGCTGAGATTTTTTTTTAAAATAATGCTACAGTGCTATTAGTGATCCAAAAACTGGCTATTAATTTGCAATCAGACAATTGAAAAAGAGAAGCCTAATCAGTTATATCACTCAGTACTCCTGAGCTTTAAAAAACCTAATTTTTAGTTTATAAAAACCAACTGTTCTGCTGGGTGTGACAGTGAATGCCTATAATCCCAGCACTTGGGAGGATGAGGCAGGAAGATCATGAGTTGGAGGACAGCCTAGGTTACACAGCAGGGCAATGTCTCCAAAAATAACAAGATTGCCTTTACTAAGGCTGAGAAAGATATTTTATTGGTGATCCTCATAAAAAGACTGAGGCAGTCAACAATATCTAACAAAGATGCATCTTACTAAGTTTATATAAACTTTTTTAGCATGACACCAAGATGGCTATAGTAAAAAAATGTATATGTATGTATATTTCCATATTTCTATATCCCTCCATGAAAACCTTTATTAACAATTACCCACATATATTTAATTTGTTGTTTGCCCCCATCAAGTTGTGATCATCCAGGTCTCAGAGTTTGGAATACAGTAAACATCAAAGTTTGTTGAAGAGCTGTGGGTGTGGCCCAAGTGGTAGAGTGCTTGTATAACAAGTGTGAGGCTCTGAGTTCAAGCCCCAGTACTGCCAAAAACCAAAAAGGTTGCTGAAAGAATATATGAATTCCATTTCACTTCTATCTTCTGGCATTTACCTCGAACAAGATCCAATAAGGTTCCTTCCGTAGTATAAATATCTAACCCTTGATGTAAAGTGAGCCTTACTAACCATTCTTCTGTAGCTGCAATATCTGCAAACAAAAGACACACAGTCAACTCCTTTTACATATTGTGTTGATGAAATTTAAGGATCTATGAGCATTACCAACAGTGGTAACTTTCCTTTTGCAACCATTTCGACTATACTTATGTGTTAAGTTTCTCACATTTTCCTACAAACATTTTGCTGATAAAATATTAAAGAACTATGAAGTGATTTTTACCACCACAGCAATGAATTAAGATACTAATAGTTTAGATCATAATTTCTTTCCTAGAGCTGTTGTGGCTTGGCAAAACAAATTATGACTTTCATGTGAACTGGTATAATATTATTTAAAAAGTACTCATCAAAGAAAAGTTCAGAGGTGGGTGCTGGTGCCTCATGCCTGCAATCCTAGTGTTGGGTCTGGGGGATCAGAAGACAACAATGAACCAGCGCCCCATCCCTCATGAGAGCACTGTGGGCCCCAAATCCTGTAGGGGAATGGATGGTTTCACAAGACAAGGCCTCCTGGGGAGGCCTCAAAATGCCACAAGGCCCATAAACCGGAGGCTTTCACAGGACTGTGTATATGTTCCAGCAGAGATGTGGTAAAAGACCACTCCACTCCTGACTCCTGACTCCCCTCCCCAGCAGAGTGTGTTCTTACTGAGATATATGAGAAGGCCACTCCATCCCTGACTCCTAACCCCCACCCCAACAAAAAGAGCCAAATAAAAACCCCTCTATGTAAACAACAGGGAACTACTGATTTTCCAGGCTCCCTGTCTGTCTCTAGGGGCAGCTTTTCCTTTCTCTCTAATAAATCCTACTTTGTGTGCTGACCTCTTTGTTTCACGAGTCAACCCACTGCCTCAATTCTTTGGCAAGAACTCTGGACAGCAGCCCACAACATTTTTGGTGACTGCATGAAGGGACACCTCTCCTGAACCAAGGTCAGTATGACTGAGCACCAAACCAGCAGGAGTTTGCCTAAGGTGCGACCATGAGCCCCTGGTGCCTTGCTGGATACTCCTGCTGGGGAAATCCCCTGCTGAGGACTAGCTGAAAGCAGACTTCCCTGTGTTACTCCTTTGTTGCTCTCTCTGTTCCTGTCTTCCTGAGGGACTTTTCCATTACAGTATCAGAACAACAGCTCCTAGCCAACTTTGGCCTCACAGCGATTCTGGCTCTGGGGGTGCTTTCTGCTCCCTCCCTGCAAGTCGAGACCATGCCTGGGGTTTATTCAGGTACACCTTATGCTATGTTGGAGGAGGCCTGTGTGGTTTCCGCACCTAGCATTCTTCTTCTTTCCCCACCTGTTGGTACCTCCCTCTGCCAGAGGCAGTGACCTGAGAGTGGAGATTTTGTGTGGCTGACAGTGTTCTAGTACCACTTAGTGGGAGCAACCTGAAAGCACACCTAATCCTAATCGTTAATCCCTTGAGTGTGTGTCATGTCTCTTGACTCTGTTCCCCCTCCCTCAGCTAGGATGTCAAGTCGCCCCTTCTGTCCTTGCTAGAGGAGGCAAACTTTCTTCCTGGACCTTTGGGAACAAAAGCTCCCTCAGTCCTCTTGCCACTTCCTAAGTTGTCTCGGTCCTTACTGTGACCCCGCCTTCCCATAGGGACTGTGCTCTCTGTCTTTTTATGACTTCTTTGACTTCCTCCAGCATTTACTCCACCACCCTCCTTGGACCAAGGGTCATGATTGTGTGATGATTAGGGAAGATACTAGGGAATTTGTCATTGCCATTGTGGCCTGCCCTTTGCTCTGGGCTTGTCTGGGAGAATGCTCCTGGGAGGAAGAGGGGCACCCCTTCCACCCTTTTAAGTATAACATCCCCTTTTGGGGCCCTCCTGGACTATACCTCCCCAAAGAAAAGAAGACATGTTATCAGCCCTCTCCCCTCATGTACAGAGCCTTTATTGTGGTTATCAGTCCATTTATTCATAGGGTCCTATTTGAATTGGCTTGCTTCTTTTGGTGGAAGCGTCTCAAATGTTTAGGATATACGATAAGGAGACAAGGCAACTAACTCATCAGTTAGTGGCTTTGGTAGGGTGGCTGGAATCAGTCCTAGCCACAGGTGGCAGAAGGGAATCACGACATCATGTGGATGCCCACTGTCATTCAGTCAGCCCCCACTGGGATGCTGAATAGGCAGGGACTCTGAATGTGAGTTCTTTGTCCTTGTAGATGGGATCTGCTCCTTCCAGTCTCCTGGCCTCGGTTCCTGAAAGATCCCCACTGGCTTGTCTATTGAAACACTGGAAGGACCTAGACCTTAACAGTCTTAAGAGGAAGACCTGCACCTTTCTCTGTGCTGAGTCATGGCCCAAATATCCTTTGGGAGATCAAGAGAGGTGGCCCCCTGAGGGCTCTATACATTATAATACCAACCTACAATTAGATTTTTTTTTGTAGAAGGGAGGAAAAATGGACTGAAATTCCCTATGCCCAGCTTTTCTTTTCTCTCTGAGACCATCCAGAATGGCTCAACAAGTGCCATTTGGATGTCCGGATCATGGCTATAGTCTGCAACCCCCAGGCTCCTAAAGAAACTCAGGGCCAAAAACCCTTACAAACACCCCAGAGCCAAAATGAGGGATCAAAAGATCCTCCCCAGTTAACAGCCACAACCCCTCCCTTGCCACCTAACTATCCTGGGCCTCCACACGGGTACTATCCCTTACAACAGGGAGTGGTAGGGAGAGGTAGGATCTATGTTTCATTTCAACTGTCAGACCTAAAAGAGATGAAAAAGGACCTGGGCAACTATACAAACAATCCTGATCAATACATCCAGGCCTTTATCACCATAATTCAAACCTATTTCTTGGCCTGGAAGGATGTCATGCTCTTTCTGGACTAAACCCTCACCTCCCTTAAAAAGCAACGAGTTTTGGCTCAGGCCACCCAAATAGGAGATGATTTTCACCTCCAATGGGCCCCTTGTCCCCAGCCCCAGGGAGTGAGGGAATAGAGATGACCCAGATGTCAACAGAGGCACAAGCAGTTCCCAAGCAGAGCCCCACTGGGACCCAAACAATCCAGGGGATGAATGGAGGAGACATCACTTATCTATCTAGTAGTGAAGGGCTGAGGTCAAGCCACTAAAATATTCCCAAGTGACTACTGTACAGAGGGCCCTGATGCATCTCCCTCTGCTTTTTTACGGAGTCTTAAGAATGCAATTCAAAAACATACCACTGTGGACCCAGAGTCACAGGTGGGGGAGGTTCTCCTCAAGGATAATTTTTTTACTCAATTGGCACCTGACATCTGTAGAAAACTTCAAAAGACGATAGCCGAAGGAGAAAGATCTTTGGATCAACTGATGCACCCTGCCACCTCAGTGTATTACAACTGGGACCTAACTAAAATGAGAGATAAGGATAAAAAACGCCAGGACCTTATTGCTGCACTCAGGGAGTTCCCCACCCAACAGGGTCCCACTCCCAGGACACGCTCCTAATGCGGACAGGAAGGACACTTCTGTAGAGAGTGTCAAAGAGGGGGGCAGCCTGGGAGACAGCCCTGGCCCCCTCCAGGACCATGCAACCATTGGTGGTCTAAGTGCCCCCATCTCCAGACTGAAGGCGGGGTGCCACCTTCCTTGGATTGATGGGTCCTGGGGCTTCCTGGCCAGGTTCTACTCCTTGATATCAAAACTGAGAAGACTTGGGTTACCATAATGACAGAGAAGTGAAAGGGCATTTTCTTTCTGGACCATGGAGCCCACTTCTCTGTCCTCCCTTGCTCTCCAGGTCCCAGGTCCAAAGATAAAATAGTTGTTTGGGGCAGATCTAGCCAGCTTCCTGAGCCTTATTTCACCCATCCACTGGCCTGCTCCTGGGGGAATCTCCACTTCTGTCACTCTTTCCTCATGGTCTCTGAAACTCCAATAACCCTGCTGGGCTGAGACTTACTCTCCCAGCTTAAAGTCCAAATTCTGTTTTCCCCTGGGGAATACTTCTGTTTTCCATTCATTGAAGAACAGGTAGATCCCACAGTTTGGACTGATGGTACAACTGTTGGTTAAGCAAAAGTTGCTCTTCCTGTACAAACAAAGCTAAAAGACCTCCCCCCATCAGGAACTAGAGAAAACATTAGATCAAGAAGAATTAACCTAGAAGGTAACACATATGCACAGAAAATTAATGTGAGTCAACTCCCTGTATAGCTGTCCTTATCTCAACTATATCTTGGTCCTTCCTATTATTGCTTATACTCTCTCTACAACAAAATTAGAAATAAGAGCAAAATAGTTTCTGTCAGGTAGCGAGGGGGTGGGGTGGGGAGCAAGGGACGGGGCTGGGGGGAGGAGGGAGAAATGACCCAAACATTGTATGCACATATGAATTAAAAAAAAAAAAAGACCTCCCTACAACTCCCCCATCAAAAACAATATCCCCTAAAACCTGAAGAGCAGCAGGGTATATTGCCCATTATTAACTCCCTAAAACAGCAGGGAATTTTAGTGGAATGCTCAAGCTCCTATAACACTTCTATTCTTGCTGTCCGTAAGGGGCAAATAAACGGAGGTTGGTTCAGGACCTCTGACTCATTAATGAGGCTGTCGTTCCCCTTCATCTGATCGTCCCAACCCCATACTCTATTGGCTCAGATACCCCCAGAAGCTCAATACTACTCTGTGCCTAGATCTAAAGGATGCCTTCTTCTGCATCCCTTTACATCCTGATAGCCAGCCCTTGTTTGCCTTTGAGGACCCCACCAATCCTTCAGAACAGCTGACATGGACAGTGTTGCCTCAGGGCTTCAGAGATAGCCCCACCTCTTTGGGCAAGCCCTAACCAGAGACTTAATAGACTGGCAACACCCAGGAGTCACCCTTCTCCAGTAGTATGTTGATGACCTACTCTTGTGCGGGTCCACTGAGCCTCTTGTTTCCAGAGCAACTGAACCCCTTTTAAACTTTTAGGCCTCTCGAGGCTACAAGGTCTTGAGAGAAAAAGCCCAGCTATGCCTTCCTCAGGTTACCTGCTTTGGCATGAGCCTGGATGGGCAAATCCATTCCTTAAATCC